CATTAATCCGTTCCATAAAAATTACTTTGAACCAAAAACATTATACTCGGTTCTGTATTCTCTAAAAGGGTCATAATGAGAGGTGGGTTGGGGTGAAACCAGGGGACAGTGCTCAGAGGTGGGTAGGGGGCAGAGACAAGGGTTGACTCGGAAGGGGGAACTACCTGCACCTACTCTCTGAGGGTAAAAAAAAGCACTGTTTACTCTTAATGCAATCTTCAGTCGCAAATCTGTGATTTGAAGGTATTGCAATGAGTAACATCTTATTAACGTTTCTTCCTAGGAACAGCAGTGTGGAAGAAGAGATCGGGAACCCATACTGGAGTGTGCGGGCGATGGTGAAGCAATATGAAGGTCATCAAGGGAGTGCATCTCCTTCTGGGTCATCAGGGTAGGCTTGTGCTTTTATATTTCTCTGTGGTAATAAAATATTTATTTTAAAATGTAAACCAGTGGTTGGATTCTGATTGGTGTATTAAGGGTTACTGCACATAGGTTTTAGCCATTATGAACAAGGATTCTTTATTTAATGAGGTTGGCTGTGTGCTAGTGCTATACAAATGCACAGATACTCTTAGGTCAGGGGTCCCACTTATGGTCAACTTATGTTTTATAGAGGGTCTCAAGTGCAGCCCCTGACATTACCAAATGCAGCATATAATGTTCAGTGAATATAATGCTACGGACACCTGTCAGAGACTGTAAATATGTAACAGAAGATGGTCAGAGACTGTGAACATGCTATGGGAGACTGTTGGAGAATGGGGAAATGCTTCAGGAGACAGTTGTAGACTGGAGTCATTATATCAGACTTCGGGAGATCACTATTACAAATGCATAAAAGCACCCTCCAATTCCTGCTGCACAATGTTGAAAATGATCTGTGGTGATCTTAGAACAGATTTGGTCAATTCACTTGATAAAGGAGGCCTTAAGTTTGGACTCTGATATAATCAAAGAGCCACACACATATTCAGTGAATTTAGTACTACCGTAATGCACAAACACCGAAAAAAAAGTATACAAGAAATAAACCAAACAATTTAACCACTTGAATTAAGTCTAAATAATATTTTACTCTTCCAAGAGCAATCACCAAAACACAGCTTACTATCTGCAAGAGATTAGGGACCACATGTAGTTCCTGGTCTATTAAGTGAACTGCAGAAGTTAAAGTGGTTGTAAAGGTAGAAGGTTTTTTACCTTCATGCATTCTGTGCATGAAGGTAAAAAACCTTCACTGTGCATCAGCCCCCCCCAATACTCACATAAGCCCTCTCTTGATCCAGCGATGTGCAGTGGAGTCTTGGCTCTCCAGGGACTCCCTCTTCTCATTGGCTGCCAATGGCTCCCACTGCTGTCAATCACAGACAATGAGGAGGGAGAGGTGTCAATGGACACCGAGCCTGCTTGGGTGCCCCCATAGCAAGCTGCTTGCTGTGGGGGCACTCAACAGGAGGGAGGGGCCAGGAGCGCGCCGGAGGGGGACCCAAGAAGAGGAGGATCAGGGCTGCTCTGTGCAAATCCACTACACAGAGTAGGTAAGTATGATATGTTTGTTTTTTTAAAAGAAAAAAAAACGCTGCCTTTACAATCGCTTTAAAATAGAACATTAATGATTGTATGTGGTGTTTATCAGCCTTCCAGACAGGAGAGGTTAACAACGAAGGGGCGCAAACGTGGCTTGTCCTGTTTCCCTCCTTCAGTGTCCCTCATGCGCTCCCCAATTATACATGAAAAACTCTATTTTTCTGTGGCACTGTGGTTTAGCTAGTGACGCTTGCATGCATCAAATACATGCAAAGCCTTAGACCACCATTGAGCAAATGTTTCATGTATTGAACAAAGCAAATCAAGACATTATATGGCAGTTGGATTTTGGAAATAATCCACCAACTGAACAATTGTTTTCTTTTTATTAAATAATCACTTTAATATCGGGCATACTCATATGGCCCAAGTGTACATCTTAAAGTGAAGCTGTGGCCAGTCTATAGAGATTTAAGTGATTACAGAAATGGGAATGCTCCAAATTGACTGTATGCAAGCTCCCTGCAAGATATATTTCCCATGAGCAATACGTTTAAAGGGCTAAAAATAAAAATGATGTGGCTCACGGGCAAAGTTAGGTCTGAGCATGTAGGTCTTTTACAAAATAATTGATTCGTCATGCCAGACATGTCTCCACTGCTCTAGAGACCAGGGGTGGAGAGCTTTACACCACTGCATCCAACGCTTTGCATTGCACTTGGTGATGTAAGGCTTGGACGCAGCTGCTTGGCCATGGAAACCTGTTCCATGAAGCTCTCTATGCACTGTTGTGCTAATCTGAAGGCCACACGAAGTTTGGAAGACTTTAGTTACTGGCTCTGCAGACAGTTGGTGACTTCTGTGCACTGTGTGCTTTAGCATGTGCTGACCCCACTCTGTCATTTTTACGTGGCCTACCATTTCGTGGTTGAGTTGCTGTTGTTCCCAGTTGCTTCCACTTTGTTAAAATACAACTAACAGTTGGCCATGGAATATTTAGTAGCAAGGAAATATCATGAATGGACTTATTGCACAGGTAGCAGCCTATCACGGTACCAAGCTTGAATTCACTGAGCTCCTGAAAGCAACCCGTTCTTTCACAAATGTATGTAGAAGCAGTCTGCATGCCTAGGTGCTTGATTTTATACACCTGTGGCCATGGAGGTGATTGGAACACCTGAATCCATTGATTTGGGGGGGTGTCCCAATACTTTTGGCAATATAGTGTATTTATAAATGATATAGAGTCAAGGATTAAGGCTACGTTCACACTAGCGTTGTGTGCAGGCGGCAGAGAGGCGTTTGGGAAGCGTTTTTACCACTTCCCAAACGCCTTTGCCAATTCTGCACATTGCAGCACATGGTGCTGTTCTAACGGGAGCGGTAGCGTCGCGACGCGGCAAAACTGATGCCTCTGGTCGAGTCAGGTGGCATTGAAGCCTCCTATTCTAGCCTATGGTGCCGCTCCGCAAACGCCCAGCCGGCGTTTGCGGTGCAGTTGCGACGCGGTTGCGGGACGTTTGCGGAGCGGTAACACCATTCAAACTTCATTATAGGCGTTTGTGGGGCGTTTTTAACGCTCGGCAAACGCCTAGCAACCGCCGCTAAACCGCGCATGCGGCGTTTGCGGAGCGTTTGCCGAGTGTAAAAAAAAAAACCGCTCTGCAAACGCCGGACAAACGCTATAGGGGCGTTTGGCAAGTGTTGGTAAAACAGCCAAGTGTGAACGAGCCCTAAAAGTACAATTTCAGTGTTTGCAAATGACACCAAGCTATGCAGTGGAAAAACGTCCTTACAGGATGTCTCCTACTTACAAGCCGACTTCAATACACTATTTAATTGGCCAGCTATGTGGCAAAGGGGGTTTATTGTTGATAAACTTAAAGTTATGCACTTGGGTCTGAAAACATGCATGTTTAATACATTCTAAGATGTTGCTAAGAGAGGCCTAGTCAATACTGCTCGCCTCCACCATCACAGGAGGATGCTCTCAAACACTGAGCTCAGAGCTACTGCATCAGGGGAAAGAAAAAAACACGTTGGGGGAGGTTGAATCAAAGCAAGAACTCACTCCTTTGTAGGTGAGGGTGAACTGTAATGACTAAGCCTCTCTTAGTAACATTGTGTGAGTATTCCAGTCAGGATTCATAATGTACACGTGGCCTACACCTCTAGCAAGGGCATTATTCAACTTTTGTCAGAGGTGCACAGTTTTTTATCTACATACATCCCTTATTTGCTTTGGAAGATTTCTGGTAAAGGTGAACTATTCCTCTAATAATGGCATGCAATGCCAAGCTGCAGTTTCCAAAGTTACTAAAACATGTTCTTGTATTAAAAGAGGCATAGACTCCCGAGAGAAAGTACAAAGAAAGGCAACCAAACTGGTAAGTGGTATGAAGGAGCTCAACTATGAGGAAAGATTACAGGAACTGATTTTTTCTCTCTTGAGAAGAGGAGATTATGACCCCATTCAGATCTCCAGCTATCTTCCTGGAGCACAATTTACCTGTCAGATGTAATTGATTGTAAAACACCACATTTTTTTAAATTAAAGTGATAACTTGTCATACTTACTTGCTCTGTGCAGTGGTTTTCCACAGATTAGCCCTGATCCTACTGTTCTCGGGTCCCCCGCCGGGGCCATCTGCTCCTCCCCCCTGTTGAGTGCCTGAGGTCAAGTGGCTTGCTATGGGGGCACTTGTATGTGCTTACTCCCAAGCTGGCTCTGTATTTCCAGTGACACACAGGGTGTGGCTCGGCCCTGCTCCCTCCTCTAGTGTCCAGTGAGAAGAGAGAGTCGAGAAAGCTCTAGTGCACATCACTGGGTCGTGCTTGGGTTCACTTAAGTGTAAGGAGGGGCGGGGGGGAGCAGCAGGAGAATGCATTAAGGTAAAAAACCTTCAGGCTTTAGAGCCACTTTAAAGAGAGAAGCCCAGGAGGTGGTATGTACCTTGTTGGACTTAAAGTGGTTTTAACCACTTCCAGTCCGGACACTTTTACCCCTTTCCTGTCCAGGCCAATTTTCAGCTTTCAGTGCTATCACACTTTGAATGACAATTGTGGGGTCATGCAACACTGTACCCATATGAATTTTTTAGCATTTTTTTTAGACAGATAAAGCTTTTTTTTTTGGTGGTATTTATTCACCACTGGTTTTTAATTTTTTTTGCTATGTAAATTAAAAAGTACAAAACTTTTGAAAAAAAAATGTTTTTCTTATACAATTTTACAAATAAATAGTATTTAATCATAAATCTTGGCCAAAATTTATTCTGTTATATTTTTAGTAAAAAAAAAAAAAAATAACCCAAATTCGTTTATAACCAAAAATTATAATTTTTAAACTTTTTTTAACATTTTTTTTATATTATTTTTTTTTATTTTATTTTACATACTGTCACCCTAGCAGTACAGTGTCACCATGGTGACACTGTACTACTTGTGGGGGTTGATGAGATTTTTTTTTTTTTTTTTACACTGATTGCTTTTTCACCCATAAAGGATGTAAAAGCAATCATTTCTCCTTCTCTCTAGCTGCATTCTTGCAGCCATTGAGAACTGATTGGTCACAGTTTGTCACATGGTACAAGGCTGTTGTGAATAGCCTTGTACCATGTGACCTCTGTGATCATTCACAGATTTCACACGTAGTAAGCAATGATATCACAAGTGACATCTTGCTTACTTCTTTGCATGTGATCACTGATTGGCCAATCAGTGATCACATGATTGGGACCTCGTACAGAGGTCCCGTCCAACGATCGGTGTTCCACTGTGTCCGGAGGACACAGCGGGCACCGGATCACTGTGCTGCGCGCTCCCAGGGAGCGCACACAATCAGGGTGCGGGGAGGCCGTTTATAAACCACCCGACCCTGCACTGCCACAGTCCGGCCGTTTATATACAACGGCCGGACGGGAGGTGGTTAAACCTCACATATGAAATCTGAACAACCATTAAATTTTTCCTCTCACATGTGGTGGAAGGAAAGAAAATTGCATAATCTATGGTCTGCTTAGGTGATTAAATCAGCTGCTGAATGTGCTTAAAAAAATCTGAGTGGCAGGAGAGCGGACAGACACAGCCCCATTATTGGGTTAACAGTAGTGGTCAGATAAATTAAAAAAAAAAAGCCAAATACATGTTGGTTCCACACCAATAACAATGTGAAAAATTCTGGTGCCACTCAAAGACCTGACAATTATCCACTTATCTGGCTATAATGCAAAAGACTGGGCAATCATCTTTTCCTGTCTGTGAGTACCTTCACATTTTAACCAAACAATTGTATACTTACGTATACAGTATGTATACATACATAGCAAACATGGAAGAGCATATTTGGTTTAAGTGTTTGTGTTTAGCTTCTCTTTAACCACTTCCTGTCCGGACACTTTTACCCCCTTCCTGTCCAGGGCAATTTTCAGCTTTCAGCGCTATCACACTTTGAATGACAATTGCGCGGTCATGCAACACTGTACCCATATGAATGTTTTACCATTTTTTTGAGACAGATAAAGCTTTATTTTGGTGGTATTTATTCACTTCTGGGTTTTTAATTTTTTTTGCTATGTAAATGAAAATATTTTGAAAAGTGTTTTTCTTATAAAATTTTGCAAATAAATAATCTTTCATCATAAATCTTGGCCAAAATGTATTCCGTTATCTTTAAAAACAAAAATAAGCCAAATTAGTTTATAACCAAAAATTATAATTTTTAAACTTTTTTTTACATTTTTGTTTTTTTTTTATATTATTTGTTTGTTTGGTTTTTTTTTTTTTACATACGGTCACCCTAGCAGTACAGTGTCACCATGGTGACACTGTACTACTTGTGGGGGGTGATGAAGATTTTTACAGTGATTGCTTTTACACCCATACAGGATGTAAAAGAAATCATTTCTCTTTCTCTCTGTCTGCATTCTTGCAGCCATTGAGAACTACTGAGTGAGCTGTGATTGGTCACAGCTTGTCACATGGTACAAGGCTGTTGTGAATAGCCTTGTACCATGTGACCTCTGTGATCATTCACAGATTTCACACGTAGTAAGCAATGATATCACAAGTGACATCTTGCTTACTACTTTGCATGTGATCACTGATTGGCCAATCAGTGATCACATGATCTGGACCTCGTAGAGAGGTCCCGTCCGACGATCGGCGTTTCACTGTGTCCGGAGGACACAGCGGGCACCGGATCGCGGTACTGCGCGCTCTCAGGGAGCGCACACAGCTAGAAATGGCGGGTGCCGTTTATGAACAGCAACCCGTCCCTGGAGTGCCACCATCCTGCCGTTTATAAACAGCAGGCGGACGGCAAGTGGTTAAGGCTAGGTTCACACTATTGCAGGTGGTTGAAGGTGCAGGAATCACAGCTGTTCCCGCACCTGCAGCCAAAATGCGTTGCTCTTTAGGGATGCTTGGGGCTACCTTTCGTTTTTTAATGGCACCCCACTCATCTAAGAGCTGATTCACACTTGTGCGGTGCAGATTGAAGCTCAGGTTTCACAGCTAATTGATACAGTAGTTGTTCACAGGTTCATGTCAGGTTTACGTCAGGTTCAGGACAGGTTTAGCTCAGGATCTTGTCTCGTTCACACATATGTGGTTTAGAAACAGTTCCCATAGAAGTCAGTAGCCTATAATTCGAACCTGAACCAGACCGCACTGCTCAGAAATCAGACATGACTCTTTTTAAAACCACACTGAATCTGTACTGAATCTGCACCGCCAGTGCACTGGACATATGTGAACAGGCACCATAGGAAGCAATGTTATTTCTCATGTCATGCGGGTTGGATGCGGATGAATAATAGTATTGTAGCTTTATTGGTCCGTAGGTGTGGTGGCTGCATTCCACAATTTTTCCTTTATTTTAACCTAGTAATGTTGCCATTATCACACTTCCTGTCTTAGGCTTCATGTACATGAGCAGCTCTTAAACTCGAGTTTAGGAGCTTTGGGCATTTTTTTGCTAAAGCTCCTAAAGTCAACTCCATAAAAGCCTGTGTGTCCATGTACACATAGACTTTTAGCAGCGTTTAGGAGCTGCCGCGTTTAGGTGAGGTTAAACCTCCCTCTCAACGCGGAATAATCGCGTTCAGGATAGGTACGTTTTGACCGCCGACCGCGAGAGAAAAACAAAAATGCGACAAAATCGCGTTTTTGCTGCAATTTGCATTTTCCAGCAGTCAGGGTAGGCTCATGTACATGGAGCCTTAGGATGGCAACCATACTTAGCAGCATTGTCATCTTAGGATAGGCAATTTGTTAAAACTACATAACACTGTGCTAGAACGACATAACACCTCCCTCTCTTCTCCATAATGGGGGCGGGGGTTGTAGTTAATGGAAGTAGATGGAGCAGTGCTGACTGATAACAGTTATCAGTCACCTCACAATATTTCTGGTTGGATGAACAGCTGTTTGTTGAACAGATATAATAAAACCATTTCAATGGTATATTTAACAGCCCAAAAGGGAATACATATGAGAAACATATTGTTAGAGTTTGCATACATTTTAAGACCTGACTGAGAACATCAGTACTGTTTTAAGAGATCCAACATCTTTCTTCTATTCCCTAAGGTCTCACAGGTATGACTGTCTGAACGTGATTCTAAAAGTAAAGCTTTGTTTCTCAAATGTCAAACAAACATATCATACTTGCTTTCTCTGTGCAATTGTATTGCACAGAGCAGCCCCGATTCTTCTCTTCTGGGGTCCCCTGCTGGCACCCCTGAATCCTCCTGCCTTGTGAGCCCCCATAGCAAGCTGCTTGCTATGGGGGCACTGATGTGGGCACGATCCTGAGCCACACTGTGTGCTTCTATTGACACACAGTGTGGCTCAGTCCTGCCCCCCACTCTCTGCCCACAGGAGTTGATTGACAGAAGCATGTGCCAATAGCTCCCGCTGAGGCTGAGCCTCCTGTGAGTGAGGGGAGAGAAGAGCAGTGCTGCTGCAGACATGCACAGTGCTGGATTGAGATTGGGCTAAGGTAAGTATTTCAGGGTGGGTTGGGGGAAAACTGGCACGGAGAGGTGCAGAAAATGTGTTAAGGTAGAAAAAAAAAACCTTTCACCTTTACAACCACTTGAAGCGGCTCATAGATATGAGATCCTCCCCAGATCCAGCTGAAAATAGCTGTCCAATTCATATGTGTTGTCCTCTGTACACCATACTTCCAAAAACTCCTGTGTAAAGCTGGTAACATCCATTGTATGAGTTACTTGAACCACAAGTGGCACTTTGTCTACTGTTTGTTAACTGTTTTGTATTTGTGGGGTTTACAGACAACTATTACAACAGTCATATGGTAACAGCATAACTAAAACCCCTCTGAGAGCTGTGTTTGTCTCTGAGTAGCTGGTAATTATCTTAATTATGGACAGGGATACTCTATGCTGTTTAATTAGGATTTAATTGGTTTCTCAAATGCTGACTGCTTCCTGTTAACACATTGGACATATCATAAGGCTTCGAAAATATATAGTTACCCATGGAAAGGACAGACGGTTTGTGCTGATTCTATTTGTAGGTCAGCCCAATAGCTCAAACTGTAGAGAGGCAGTCTGTTTTTAGACACATATACACATAAATATTTATGCCAGGTATATTAATGTCTTTAAAATGTATTATCCTGCGCTTAAATATCCTTTGACCTGTATAGAGGTAGACTTAAAGTGAATACACAATGATTTATTTCATACACTGTATACGTGAAGCTCACCTGCTAATTTGCATGTTACTTTTTAACAGAAAGCTGCATTATGAGCGAATCAGGGCAGCATTAGTTTGAGGTCAGGTGGGCAATTTTGTATGCATTGTTCTTCCTGTCTTGTCATCTGGCATAGGTGGAGAGAACCACTCCAAAACACTGCATATAGAATATCTGGAATTAGATCACCCTCTCCCTCACTCCTGTAACAGTTGAGGAGCCATCACAATTAATTTCTATTCTGAACCAATTTGTCTCAGGAAGAGACGAATGCATGAAGGTGAAAAACTTTCTGTGTGCTGCTCCACTCACAGCCTGCCGTAATACTTACCCGAGCCCCACCAGGCCACTGTGCACTGGAGCAGCGTCTCTCCCGAGTCTCTCTCCTCATTGGCTGAGACACAGCTGTGGGAGCGATTGGGTTCCACTGCTGTCAATCACAGCCAGTGAGGAGAAAGTGGGGACACGGCTGAGTGGCGCTCTCTGTTTCTTATAGACAGTAAGCACCTCTTAAGATTTAACCGCCATTCATCCAGATTCATTGTGTGGCCCCATTCCTTCTTTAGAGACCTTAGGTAAAATAGTTTCTACCAATGCTAGAGTTACCATTTATAGATTTGTCTTATAGACACACAGAGGTGGGCTGTGGAGCGTGCAAGCGGCTTGCTATGGGGGCACTTAGCAGTGCAGGAGCACCAGCGGGGGACCAGAGAAGAGGAGGATTGGGGCTGCTGTGTGCAAAACCACTGCACAGAGCAGGTGAGTAGAACATGTTTGTTATTTAAAAAAAAAAATAGCCTTTAATGTTACTTTAAGGTACACTTGGATTGCAGATCTACATATGTGCTTGGATGTTTTGTGCTCATAGCAACTTCAATCAGTGAATCTATCCAGCTGATTGTACACTGATGTTAGATAGGTGGTAAGGTTGAATAAAGACACCAGTTCATGCAATTCAACCTGTGTGGGTTTATGTCACTACCGTTTTACATATCCTTGTACATTATCTGACATCACCAACTGTGTAAGGGAATTCCAAATCCTTACCACTCTAACAGTAAACAACCTCTTATGTAGTCTAAGATTGAACCACTTTTGATCCAGCTTCATTGTGTGGCCCTATGACTGTGACGATCGCGAGTTAGACCTCAGTCCTTATCACCAAACTCGTGACCGAAGGACTAGCCAATCTAAAACTGCGATGTCACGAGCGTAACAATGCCACACCCAGCTGCACCCTGCACAACGATTTTCCATCTAATGGACCACAAATCGATGTACCGGCAGCCTGAATGCAATTGTTACTGGGTCAGGTTAAGTATGCAATTAACCCTTCACACTGCCACCACCTCCTTTTTGTACAGAGAAAGAGGAAACTCGGCAATATCAGCAATAACACTATGATGTTTGCATAAGCGTCGGTATACCACTGTCACCGCAGGCAGCGATATACTGACGTTTAAAACACACGCACAGAAGCGCTTTTCAGAGGTAGCACTGTCACCGCAGACAGGTTATACAGAGGGCTAAACACACACAGTAGCGCTCTTTTTGAGGCAGAAATTCGTAAGTTGCATTTATGAGCTATAGAAACAGTTCAACACTTTCAGAAAGAAAGATTTATTACTAAAAGGTCAAAAGGGTGCAATAAAAATATTTACAGAAAAAAGATGTAACCAATATATATATATATATATATATATATATACACATACAGAGAACAATAGCACAGCAAAGAGGTAACAGAAAGGAGTTTAAAGGGTTAAAGTACTTGCCAATCAGCCTTGGGTTAAGCAGATCAAGTTTCAGAGCAAAAGGGCACAGTCTCCCAAGTTGGTTCTGATGTTAAGCGGGATTCTTCAACTTACACTCTTAGGCCTGACAGCCTATTTTGTTGTCCCCCAGTAGGGGGTGTCTCTGAAGCCAAGGACCAATAACTCATTTGGGGAGGGGTTGTCTGGGCGGAGACCCAAACTAGAACCAAAATCTCTCCTAGCTCATATTTTGGCTCATAACTTTTCCTAGGCACAAGTACCATTCCACCTGTGGGTAGATTAATATGCAGATACATCTGAGGAACGGTTAGATATGAAATATATACTTGAAGGGTTCAAGAGATGTAATTTTCTGCTTTCCTATATATTCCAGCCAAGGAGAGTGACATATCAAACTGTTTGTCA